AACTAATGTAGTGTTGCTTAAGTCTAAGCTGCAATCCTAACCAGATGTTAATGGTCAAGCAGTAGGTTCAAAATTGATGGAATACCCCATGGCCATGGTCCAAGTACATTCAAGAAGAGTAGAGTCATTTATGCAAAGTGAAGCAAAACTCTTTCGCTTAGGCTATCATTAAGTACCTCCAATAGATTAGGAGTATTTAGACCTTGTATTGAGGGTCAACTAGTATAGGATTTCTTGTTAGGCCTTATATTAAAGGCTAAGTAGTATAGGATTTTTTGAACAATTTTACTTAAGTTATAGGACAATATTCGCACCTAACTTAAGCTAATATTTGCTGATTGGTTTTGTAACCCTAACTTGGTAGAGGGTGTCCCACATGAGATATGGTGGCTACATGACAAGCTCTTAGTGCAAAGTTTTCTTACAAAGGTAGTTGTCATGTGTCATTTTCCCAGTGAGAAACTTTTTCTAAAGTGGCTTTTCACTTGGCGAGCTCTTAGTGGAATTTTTTTTTTCAAAGGTAGTGGCCATGTGTCATTTTTCCAGTGGAGAACTTTTGCTAAAGTGTCTTTCCACTTGACAAGCTCTTAGTGGAGAGTTTTCTTACAAAGGTAGTGGTCATATGTCATTTTCCTAATAAGGAATTTTTGCTAAAGTGACTTTCCACATGACTAGGGATGGCAACGGGTCGGGTCGGGCACGAATAGTGTCTACCCGCAACCCAACCCGCATACAAAAATTGTACCCGCAACCCGTCCCGCTACCCGCATAAAAAAAACTCGCGGATTTTTTTCAACCCGCGGGTATCCGTTGGATACCCGTTTTCAACACACAAATATTTAATGGATAAATAAATAAAATTTAAAATATAAACTCAAGTTAATAATACCTAAAATACATATCCAAATACAATTAATTTAAAAAAAATTGTCATAAAAATAACACTCTAATTTGAGGACTACACTACAAGAAATTGGTGTATTACCGAAGGGTTTTTACAGACGGCCTCTTGCCCTTCGGTAAAAGTGTGTTACCGACGGTCGGATAGATCATTAACGAAGGCCATGGTGAAATGCACTCATTACCGAAGGCCTTTTTCGAAGGTCTTTGGGCTCGGTATTGGCTTTGGTGAATTAACTTACCGAAGGATATATGACCCTCGGTAAGGTGCTTGGTGTAATTAAACCCCAGGGACTTGGTTTCCCTCTGCTAACTTTCATTTTTCGAGCCAAAATTTTCCCTTTCTTTCTTCGAACCCTCACCAGCATTCCTCCTTTATCGGAGACATCAAGCCCTCACCAGCTTTCCCGTTTCTTCGATCCATCGAACCATCACCAACATTCCCCAAATTTGCGAGGTTTTGTTGTCGGATGTTGTCTCAGTCCTTCGCGCAAGCATTCTGCCGTGGCGGTTCGTTCTGTGGTTGCAGGGGCTGCGTGACAAATTTGTTGTCGGTGCGTCAAGAGGGCTTCGTGGAGGAGGCGACAACGGTGACGAGGGGCTTCGTGGTGCGTGGAGGAGGCAACAACCGAAGACAACACAGCTGCTCGACTTCTCTCGCGTCAATATGTAAGTCTCCTCACTCCTCATTTTTCCTATTTTTCATCTTCTTTTCACTGTTTTGCTTTAATTTTTAGCTTTGTGAATTTGTTCTAAACTTGTTCTAAACCATTTAACCATGGAAAATATTAGTTGGATGTCATATTTTATAATTTTCATTGTTTTTCTCTATTTTTAGCTTTAATTCTGCTCATATGTTGTCCTGTAAATGGTAGACATTCACATTATTCTTCAAATAGTAATTTCCAATGACTCCCATCTAGATTATTAGTAATAAGGAAATACAATAAGAAATAATCTATATCTAAACTGTGCCACTATATTTTAAAATTCTACTGTGATATTTAATGTTCATATTACTCACCTACATTGCAAATAAAGGCAACAGTATGAGGTGCTTGGTTTCAAAGATATGTTTATCTCTTCTCAGAAATTGTAGCCTGTGTTGCATCATGAAAACATAAAAATTGACTATCCCCTGTGTAGTATAATTATTATCATTTTTCGATGTATACATAATCTGCATCAGTTTCATCATATGCTGGTTTACACTCGTCTTCCCTAGCAACACAACAGTTTCAACCTCTTTTAAGTACTGATTTCTAGCTCATACATCAGGTGATGGTACCCTATTGGAAAACATAGACATATGTATACATGATTTAACATCGGATGGCAAAGTGTTCATTCCTTATTTTTTTTATTTAATTTTCGTTCTATCCTATACTTGACAAGTCTCCAGCAACACAAATTTGATCTTCCACTAGAACTAGTTTTTTCATGCAAATGTAAAACTACAAATATGTTGTGCACAATCGAAAGTTTTATTAATATGCAATCCTTCATAAAAAACTTTATGCTGCTTGTCATATAGCTATTGCTTCAGCAAATTCCAGATAGATACAACTCCAATTTACAAGTGAATTTTTTTTTGTGGTCATTTATTTTATCAGGAAAAATTGAACCTTGAGCTGGAAAAGTTGAGAATTGAGGTAAGACATGTCCAAGGACTTCATGTAGTAGCTCAAAGTGAGTAAGTTGAAGCATCCCGGAAGGTAACATCTGTTTTCTTAGTGCCAAAAACACTTTCTTGTACCTAATAAGTACAATAATTTAATGGGACCCTTGCACCCTAGCATACCTAAGTTGTTTCCTTGTTAGGTTCTTTGCTTTGACATCCATAAAGATACATTACCCTATTATACCAATTGGAAGATGAATTCACCTTCCATATTCGGATTTGAAGATGCTCTCTTTAGTGTAGTGTGTGCTTTCTTGCTGCAAAAGAGTGAAAGTGTTCTTCTTATAATAGTAGGGTTGGGCACCTTGGACTTAAAAAGAGACCTAAAGTTGAAAAATGAAGTCAGTTAACAAGGGAGAGGGAGAGGATTGAGGAGCACGTTGTAGGGGTCGTGTGTGAGCTTTGTTAGCAAAGGGTAACAATGTTCTTTGACTTGGTCTGAATTGTTTATTTGTGGAGATCAAGGTTGTTGAGAGTAATTAGCTGATTAAATACAGAGATATAAATTATAATTAAGGTTTTTTCTTTTTGTTTTCTCTATGAATTAAGTTATATAACATTAAAAAAAAAATCAGCAAAACATGAAAATAGCTACTTTCATATCAGAAAAGAAAGAAAAAGTTGGGAGAAGCATGTTCGTTGTTAAATCAAATATGCGTGAGAGTTTAGATTTAAGAGTGTGAATATATGCTGATATGGGAAATATGAATATACATTTTCTGGGCCATCATAAATTCATAATGAAGGTATTAGAAATTAGAGGTCATAAATTTGTATGGCAAGAAATTAGGAAATTCCACCATGGCTGCCTCTGGAATTTCTTCCTAGGTTATTGGAGGTGTTTTATGCAGTGAGGGGTGAAGAAACTGAAAGAATGAATGAAGTTGATTATGATTAGGATTCAGGCTTCAAATCAATGATGGTTTTTACTTGTCTAACAAAGGGTCATTTTTCTTAGTCAATGTTGCACTTTTTGAGATATTAATGAACGTGAGATATTTTTCTTTCACCTTTATGATCATGCTGCTTTTGTGCTTCTTTTAATTTCTTAGTCATGGTGCAACTCTTTCTTCTTGGCGGATGAATAAAAGTAGTATTCCCTTTACTGTGAGGCAAGTGGCGCTCAGCGCCGTTGGAGGGGGCGCCCAAGCGTGCCTGCGAGGAAAATGGCGCTCAGCGCCCCTAGAGGGGGTGCCCAGGCGTGCCTGCGAGGCCTTCATGTCTCTTCTAGTTTGATGCTTTTGTTGCTTTTCCTGGGTTCCAACTCCTTGATGGTTTTGATGCTCTTCCAATGCACACAATTTGCCTACAAAATGAGGGAATTAGTGATAAAAACAATTAAGTGTAACCTATATTAAACTTATTCACAAAAGTCAGATAAACGAGAGAATTAAACAAGCTTCAAACTCAAAAAAAGTTGATTTGGTATAAAAATGAATCGCAATAGTAAAAATTACCGTTATCAATTAGTTAACATGTGTTATATGCATTTAAGTTATGTATATTCCAATTTATTTATTGAATAATTTCGAATATTTGACCTTTAATATATACATTAAAACAAAGATAGTAATTTTCAACATTAAAACTCGGTCATGAAAAATAAAATTACCTTTTTTTTTTTCAATCATTTAATTTTCTTATGTATCCTAACTTTTATACTTTTTTTATTTTTAATAATAACTTAAAATGAATTATTTTACTCAATTATTTTCACTTTATATTTAAATTTTAATACTATGTACCAAATTTTATTTTAAATATTAAACTTTTTTTTAATTAATTTAGTTCTATTCACTTCATTTTCTTATAAAATGAAATATATAAAAAATTACATAATTTACAAAATTGTTATATAAAGATACATATATATTTGACTTGTAATATGATTTTCAAAATATTTTCTTACAATAATTTTAATTTAATTTTCTATTGTTTGTTATAATATAATGAATAAATCTAAACTCTCTCTCTTTCTCTATATATAATAAAATATAATAAAAAACGTATCTAACTTATCCATAGATACCATATTTTTAATTAAAACTTACTGTAAAGTTAAAATTATGTCTTTTTATAAAATTATATATGAAATAAAATATGTAAACAAATTATATATATATATATATATATATATATATATATATATATATATATATATATATATATATTAGAATATTATTTAAATAACAACTATTGAGATAACAAAATAAGTATACACAATATTTTAATACATGAATTCAACCTATCTTAAATCAACATCATATTCATATCCACGCTGTTTAATGTTTATATATTTCAGCACAGGAAAGAATGGTTTGAGATTCTCTATACTGACATTCAATTGATTAAGGTACTTGAGACGTAGTATTTCCACTTTCAACAATAACATACTTGGTCTCATAGTTGCTAATTTCCCTCAAGTTATATTTAGCTCACGTGGTATCAAAACGGTACGTGTAAAACATCTTAGAAGACTCTTTCCAGGAAAACATTCAAGATGCAACTTTTTCAAACCTGATGGCAAAAGGATAGGAATTTTGACATACCCTGGGTCAGACACACTCCAAGATATTTTGAGATGTTCAAGCGTTGAAAAAGATGCCAAACTTTCAAACTCTCCGTCATTGATCACGGCCTCATATCCTATACGTATACTGAGTCGCCTTAGTTTTCTCAAATTATTAACAAGATCTGATATTCTACAAGGAGTCTTTTTAGAAGTGGTTATTAAAAATCCCTTCAGTACTTGAAGATTACTGAGCTTCTCAATCCCCTTTGGCATGCCCTCCAGTAAGCAACAATCAGACATAATCAGATGTGTCAGACTTTTCATTGATGAAATATCATCAGGTAGCCTTTCCAAATTATGACATGCTTTCAGATCAAGAATTACTAGACTCTTAAGTTCCACAATGGAGGATGGAAGCTCGAATATTCTTGATATCCCACACAGACTCAGATATTTCAACTGCTTCAGAGTTCTCAACTCTCTCAAGAATTCTTCACTCCCAACTTCAATGTGGTGCAAAGGCGAATCTTGCCAACGCCCTAGTTGAAGCGCCTCTAAATTCTTCAATTGATCGGTGATCCATTGTTGTCCAAAATTCAGATAACTTGCACCAATATTAAAAATATTACGTAAACTAAAATTTTTTGTATCAACTCCACCTAATGTAACTCTTTTTCTATCAAGCGATACCATATTAGAAAGTGGGTTTTAACCTAACTCAACCCCACAAAACCGGCTTGTAGAGTGAGGTTTGCACCTCACTTATATATTATAAATTGGTCTTATCTCTAGTCGATGTGGGACTTCCAACAGTAAACGTGATGGTCGAATATACTCTAAATCTCGATCTAAATATAACTTCAAATGACTATGGACGTGAGGAAGAATTTGAAATTTATTGACAAGGGGATCCTTCTTACTACCATAGCGTACAATCACCTTAAATTTCAAAAGATTATCAATCACATCCACACCCAATTCCTCTGCTGTTTTCTTCTCTGTATTTTCAATCAAACCCTCTTCAATCCACAAATTAATTGCATTTCTTTTCCTTATGATAGCGTTCTCAGGGAAAATTAGGAGAGACAGCAGGCAAAATCTGGATGGAAGGCCTAGCAGGTTGAAATCATCCGAAGTCCACCTCTTCTTCTCATGGGGATGCACCAACTGTTGTGATGAGTGAGATATTTTGTCACCCCTATGATCCACCTCCTTATATGAGTCACCAAAAACATCCTTTGAAAGCAAATTGTGAGCAGAATCTTTGATTCTCTTGCAAATGCCCTCCATGTCTTCATCTAGCATCCTGCGGTCTAACTTGCGAAGATGGCCATACACCTCTGCTAATGTGTCAAGCAGTTTTTCTTAATTCTTCTTCACTTCCACAAACACATCCTTTATATTGTTCAGAACCAACCACAACTTCTCCAACTCCCCATCTAATGATTCATCTCTTCCCCTTTCATGGAATTTCTCCCTTGATGTCGTTAACTGCTTCATCAACACAGCTACCGCTTTCATTTTGTTTGTTCGAATTGACATTTTACAACAAACACACAAACATACACAATGTCATCCAATTTTTCCTACTTCCAAAATTCTTTTTTGCCGACAGGACTACAATTTTGATTTATATGGAGTTATAACCCTCATTTGAAGCATTATATAAAAGTTTACTATTTCTAATTAATATCAATAACAAAATGGAGTTGAACCTTTGAAATAATCGGGACAAAAGAAGCTAGATTAAGAATGTATTCAGTCCAACAGCTAACCTCGTCCAACTCTTTCTGTTACACCTTGCTACCGACAAAAATATGATTCCACGAAATAGCACAATCGAAGTTAAACTAGACGTTAACAAATTATGATAATCAATTTCAGAAAAGAAACAGACGCACGTATACACATAAACATATATATTATGAAAAGCAACAAAAGGGAACTTAAGGTACATCTTACCAAACAAACACCAGAAGGAATTTCAAGAGAAAGAAAACGTTAACAAAATATTGTGGAAGATAATCCTCTTGTGGATAAAACAATCTCAAATAGTTAAGGTGCTTTAAACGAGTAGAAAACAATCTCATATAGTTAAGGATAGTTTTGAAGCAAAGTATACTTGATATGCAGGGAAGCCAAATCATGGCATCATACTTTCCTGTTTTAGTATGACTTGAACGAAGGAATTACACCACAAAAAGTTTCACGTAATTCTTTGATTACCTTCGACTTTAATGATCCCAAAAAGTTTGATTTTCCCTTCAAAGAGAATCTGTAAATTTGTTCTTATGCTCTAAAATACAAGGATTTTGTCAGTGACTCCTGGATACCTTATCCCAAGAATAATGTTAAAAGAATATGAAGAGTACAGTTAAAACCACATCACACACTCTGGATTTACATAATCACTTCCCATATTTGTTCATCAAGACAAACTACTACAGTCATCAATTGCAAATTTAATATAAACTTTCAAGATTTTAAATATAATTATCCCATGATTGTCTCATCATTATCGTTATGATTGTTATTTGCATAAAATTTTATTGCCTTAACAGCTCTTAAGAGGCATTACCTTCAAAATTTTTTAGTATAATTTATATATANTCACTTGTCAGTTTTGAAAATATTTGTGATAAATTAGTGGTACATGGAAAATGTCATCTACATATCACCCTCGATTGGATGGCCAATCCGAGATTCTCAACAATGTTTCACTTTTGACTCTCCAAAAGAATGGTCCAAGTTTCTTCCTTAGGCAGAATAGTGGTATAACACAACATACCATACAAGTGCTGATATGACACACCTCAAAGTTGTTTATAACTGTGTTCTCCCCCAACTACTAAAATATGTCCTTCATGGAAGATCCCATTGCTGTGAAAGGACAATTGTTGACAAGAGATGCTATATTGTAAAAGTTGAAAATGAATTTGCAAAGGACACAACAGATTCAAAAGAAGTATGCTGATAAAAAAAGAAAGGATGTGCAATTTGAAGTGAGTTTGGTCCCTTTGCCATCATTCAGAAAGTTGGGAAGGTTGTTTATAAATTGAAGCTTCCGAATTTAGGAAGAATTCATCCAGTATTCTATGTTTCTTAGCTAAAATTGTGTCACATAAATCATGATCAACCTTATGCGTCCTTGCCATCAATACGTGAGGCATTCCCGTTAAAAAATAGAATAATATTCTTGCTCCAATCACTGCTATTGTTTTTTGTGTGTTTCATTATATATATATATATATATATATATATATATATATATACACACACACACACACACTTTAGTTAGAAAATTTAAAGGAGTGTCCATGAAACTACTAATGTTACTAATATTTATCAATTTATCCAACAGAAGACAAGTACACCGCATATATCTATTATAAAAACCACTAATATGCTGATATTTTTTCTTGTCCAACTACGTATTTTGCAATAAATTAGATTTTGTTGCAAGAAATTAAGATTCTTTCTTGCATTAATGAATTATCTCAAACAATATGGAAGTGCATTATTCTTAACCGTTATATCCACTCATCGGTTAATATATATTAATGTGAAGATTGGAATGTAAAAAGTTGAAATAAAAAGATACCAAAACAATTGTATTAAGATCAAATTCTTGTGTAAACACAGACATTGCACTGAACAGATAATATTGTAATAAATTTTGTATTGCTGTAACCAACACTGTAGCTCGTGAACAGAATACGACCAAAGTGTCCCTAAATTTGCAATAGAGCAACGTAAAACAATCAAAATACAACTAAATGTAAATGTTTTAAGGTCATAACACCGCTTTAATTATTAAATGATATTAGTAATGGATGCCAATTTCCAACATCAACCTTTACTACGTGAGTTACCAATGTGAAACTCTGGTTTTTCAATGGAAAATAAGAACACTTAAGATTGACGTTCTAGAAAGCAATCTGGAGTTGCATTCTGTTTGATTGCAGTACGGATTCCACAACACAAAATTCCAAATTCATTGCAATTTTAATTATAATGACAAAAAAGTTGCTTTCCCCCATAAGCGAGGTGCTTGATTTTACCTCCTGAATCAGCCAATGAGTAGAAGAACTTGCAAGAGAGATTATTATACACTGCCAAGCAGGTCACAGGTTTAGCCTTGTAACAACAATGTATCGACAAAAACCAGACAGAAGGTGTATATCTTACATGACCTCTCTCTGAAGTGTTAGATTACCGTTAACCATCACATTTTACAATCAATTTCTGTCCGCTGTTCAAATATTACATTAACTCGTTAGAAACTATCACATCACAGAATAGATAATCCAAAGAAACTAGCAAGAGTATTGTTTTATAAATTTCACAGACTTCGTTTTTGCAACTCAATGGAGTAAATGTAATCTACATGTGTCTCTCTCACCCATAAAGAAAAAAAAATTAAAAAAGATAAAAAAGAGAAAAGGGCAAAACAGAATTGGGGGAAAAATACTATCTGCTACCAACGTTTTTCCCTCAAATGTCACCACTAAGTGGAGCAGCAGCCTCTCTTTGTGTTCCCAGATGCCTCCCCAACATTGATGGTGGTACCTTGACCAGGAAGTGTGGTACCACCAGCTGCTTCCTGAGCTGCGAGTGCCTTTTTGCTAACAATATGATAAATCTCTGTCAAAATGGTTTGGAATGCCTTCTCAATGTTGGTTGCCTCCAGTGCAGATGTCTCAAGAAACGACAAACCTTCCCTCTCTGCCAAGTTCTGACCATCGTCCCCCGAAACCGCTCTTAGATGGTTCAAATCAGATTTATTTCCAGCCATCATGATAACTATATTAGAATCCGCATGGTCCCTCAGCTCACGCAACCACCTTTGCACATTGTCAAAGGTTTGTCTCTTAGTAATGTCATATACAAGTAGAGCACCCACAGCTCCTCTGTAATAAGCACTGGTAATGGCACGGTACCGCTCCTGACCTGCTGTGTCCCAGATCTGTGCTTTCACAGTCTTCCCCTCTACCTGTACACAAAGAAAAAGCCATTAGTAATGCTGTAATGCAAACAAGCCTTCATGATCAAGGTTTTCAAAAAACCTTCTGCAACCGTGATTAAGACAGCAAGATTGAGGTTTCGTGAGCCTCCAAATGCAACAGGCATTGCACCAGCATTGAGTTTGTAATTTTCAGGAACATCAAAATATCATGACAAAAATACAACCTCTGACTGCAATTTAAAACCTTGTTCATTCAATTGACAACCATCCATCCAATTAAGAAAACCATCAAACATAAATAACCAAAATATTTCCACAACATTACCATATAATATTAGTCCTAAGTTCAAAGATATTTTCTTGACCAATTTTTAACTGAGAAGCAATCATCTCATCTGAAGGTACAAAAATCAGGCTAAAACAACTGTTTAGTTATTATGTTACATAAAATATTAATCCAAATCCTCATCCACTTGATCGTAACACCGAAAGCTAAAATCATTTCTCCAAAACATTATATTCATCAGAGGTTTTGAAAAACACTCTGTCATCGTAATTTTGATCACAACATCAAGGATTTTGTCCATAAACTCATGAAACGTCAAGACCACAGCAAAGCCACCAGCGCAACTTAAAACCTTGATATTTATTTCCTAAGAAAAGGATCTGAGATATAAATAAGCTATTCAATCAATCCTTTCAAGCAAAGACTAAAAAAAGACCATAG